AATAATTTACAAGGAATGTTTATTGTTTAAAATGAAAAATTAAGTTGTGAAAGTAAGGTTTGCTGGTAGCAAATATGAATGTGTAATAAGACAAATATTTTGTAAACAAGCATTTGAAATTTTATTCATTGTTATTTAAATGCTGTTAAATGTTACTTTCTAAAAAGTTTCAGATTTTGCTCTGGGGATGCTGTGAGCAAAGGGGTGCATAGTGCTGCTGAGCAAGCTGCAGCAGGGCTGTGGGGGCACTGTTGCTAGTTGGGATATGGTTCTAAGGAGGCAAAGCCCCCAAGAAATTCTGAGATTTTTATTCTTACAGTGTATTTTAAAAAATCCCTGTTTTTAGTTTCATTTGGTTCAAAATCCTTGTTTCAATCATACTATGGTCACAAAATAAGGATTAACACAGAAGATTGACTCAGCCAAAAAACCATGGTCCTTAAGCCAGTGTGTGTATGAGAGGCATTCACCCCCTGGACATTTGCCATTTTGAATATCAGGGGGATGCCTCTCATAAGTACACTGGCTAATGATGGCATCAGCATTTTGATAACAAATTATGGTTATATATGCCAAAATCATAGGAAAAACCAAGGACACCAAGAAGTCGATCTTCTGTAATCCAACTAGCATTTAAATTTCAGGGGGGTGCAAATTTCTCAATGTGGGCAAATGTGGGGTGGCCTGAAAACTTTCCAAGGGGGTGCAAAATATTTTGGGGATGTGCAACCCTCTGCACCCTTATCAAATTCAAAAATCTGGGAAGGGTCTGGGAAAGTGCATACCATTCAAGTGGCTCAATGCACTAAGGTAAAGGACCACGGAGCCTGTTTGAAAGTGGGGAGGGGGCAGGATAGCACAGGAGCTATATATGCCATGCAGGCAGGCTGGATTTTATTTGGTAATTTTTTTATCCACTGAAAAAGTGGGGGGGGGGGCATGGCCCTTGTTCCATGGTCCCTGCAATGCTTTATTATTAATTAGTTCTATTATAAATAATTATTTTATTAAAACAGTATTTGTTATAACATGAAATATATTAATAACAAAAAACATATCATGTTAGATAAAGTGATAAACATGATATATATGACATAAAAAATAATATCAAAATTTCGCGCCACTTTTCAGACTGGCTTCCTTGACGACCGCCGTGACAACTGGTGCTGTCGATAACCAATATGGCCGCAAAAAACAACATTTAAAGGTCCTTAAAGAAACGCGTATTTCTCCCCGTGAAAAGCCGTTTGGGTGAGCAATTTTGTGTACTCCGAAAGTTTATGAACTGGTTTTTGTAAATATTTGAAAAGATGGACGAAAGACATTGGTGGTTTGCGACAAAATTGCAAGAAACCTTTCACATTGGAGCACAAGACAGCCCCACCATGCTGGAAGACTTTATGGCCGAGCAGGCAACTTTGGACTACATAAACGACTTTCTAGCCATTGGAGGACACACGAAGTTGTTCTTTTATTGCCCGAAACCTAGCCAAGAAACTCTCGTAGCTAGAAAAATGTCTGTGACTAACACAACTGCAAAACTTCGCGAAGTTTTAAACGAGGAGTCGATTTGCTTGTACTTTTTACGCTCCGAGGCAGACCATGTTATCGAGTCAAGTCGTGTAGAAAAAGAAGTTTTTTGTGGCGAAATAAAGGAAGGTCCTTTGCTAACGCTGAATTTATTAGTTAGCGATATTTTTGCCCCAATTTTGCGCGCTCAAAAAAATTGGAATTGCAGTGATGAAAACGTCGCACAGTTTTTGACACAATTTGAAAAGCTTGCATCAACTTTGAACGAATATGCCACAGCATCTGTAGCACCTCAGCCGATACTCAAACGAGCCGAAATGCAAGTCAGTAACGATTTCAAGCAGAACCGAGCCGCAGCAATTAACCCTATGGTACTATCAGAGTACGAGACATTGGTTACAGACTGGATGCATACCATTGAAGGAATACTGTGTGATGGTCTGGACGACAGGTACAGTATTAAGCCCGTTCTCCACTAGGCGAATTTTTTCACGCGAAGCCAAGCGAAAAAAAATCTTGGTAATGTGATTGGTTCATCGAAAAAATTCGCTGCAAAAAGGTTGGATCAGTTCCTACTTTTTTACTGTTCGCGTGCACAAATTCGCCTAGTGGAGAACTGGCTTAATACACCCTTCCGGAAAGTACGTCACTTTGGCTATAGAGCCTCGTTTCCGTGTATCTGACATCAGTTAAAGGCTGCGTCTCAATCACGAAAACAAGGCTCTATAGCCAAAGTGACGTACTTTCTGGAGGCGTGTATTAGGTGAAGTCAGACCTCTATAATACGAGACACAGCAACATGTCTGTATTAGAGAGGTCAGTCCATTTTAAAGAATTTTTGAAACGATATATGAGAATAGTAAGGTTATAGAAATGCATCTATTTAACAAATAGATAAGATTTTGCCGTTGTCTGTTCATTTATAGGTACACATACAGTATGGCATCACAATATGGGAAGAACAGAAAAGTGGCTCACAAGCTGCCAATGCGAGTGGGTCACTTTTTTGTTCTTTCGACATTATGATGTCGTACTGTGTATCTATGACTCAACAGACAACGGCAAAATCTTAACTATTTGTTTTATATAATAAAAAGATAAACTGCAAATTAAACCGGTAAATAGTTCTGTGCGTCTGTCCTCTAATAGATCATGGCTCTCAACCAATGAAAACTCTTGAATTCTTGACGTTATTATATAATAGATATTAAATGTAAATATTAAATAACAAGGCAACTCCCTTAACCCATTAAGTTGTGTTGACCATAACATGCCCTACTTTTCAAAGACATTACAGTCGAACCTCTATTAAGCGGCCACCCTCGGGGATCGGCTTTGTGGCCGCTTAATAGAGGTGGCCATTAAATAGAGGTACGCAAATAATAGACCCTGGGCGTAGTCAAATCTTTTGAAGTGTAAACTAGCTTTTGAGGTGTAAAGTGACATGTGCATTATTTTACAAATAAAGCAAATTAGCTCGACTTTTATTTTCGGCTCTCTTGACAAGGTGTTGCGCCAAGTAAATCCTGCAGGCTGGCCGCTTAATAGAGGTAAAAATTGACATAAAACATCATTTGGGACCGCTCTTTGGGTGGCCGCGGCCGCTTAATAGAGGTGGCTGTTTAATAGAGGGATAGTTTATAGTATTTGTATTACAAAAATTTCGGGACTTCGATATGTGGCCATTTAATAGAGGGTGGCCGCTTAATGGAGGGCCGCTTAGTAGAGGTTGATCGACTGTAATAACATATATACAGCATGTAGATTCTTTTACAACATATAGTATATAATCAGCATCATATTTGGTGTTGTTATCAATCACTGTGTGGCAATTGGATTTTCTCTGTGGGTAGCCTGACACACAGGCTACTCTGTGGGGGGAGTGGATCTGTTCTGGAATGACCCATTACAATATGATGATTGATAACTACTACAGACTGTAGTTTTCTGCACAAACTCATGCAATGAAACTCGCATATTTCCACTGACAATGTTTTTACAGAGCACTAGATGGGATGCGTGGTCCTCTCACAGAATCTCACTTGTGGCATCGACGTCAGAAACATTTGATTGGTATCACAGAGCAGTTGAAAACCAAGGAGTGTAAGGGAGTTATAGCTATCCTCATCACGGGCAAGTCTAAGATTCTCAAGAGATGGAAAGTTATTGACACGAGGTAAGATTAAGCCACTATTTGTGGACCTGTTGATGCAAATAAATTTAATTCTTAAACTGGCTGTTGACTGTTATAACTCACGTTAACTTTAGTCTATAAAAATTTAAGTGGTCTTTTATTATATTAATTATGATTCCAGATATAGACAAAGTTTTGATCTAGACAAGATCAAGCACGAAATTACCATTACCATTGCTGGAAAGAGCATCTTTAAAATGATTAAAAGTGCAAAGTTTGGTTGCAAATTCTTGTAAAATGAGGAAATGTAGCCCTGTGAAGTTTGCAAATTTTGTATATATTTGTATTACGTGCGAGAAAAATAACTATTTTTGAGCCGAAAGTGGTTATTTTTACTGTGCGTAATACAAATTAATATACAAAATTTGTGAACTTCACAGGGCTATATTTTCTTCACTTTACAACATTTAGCAACCAATCTTTGCAGTTTTACTCGTTCTAAGATTGCTCTTTTTGTCTGTGGTGTTGGATTTCGTTCTTCTTGCTTTGATCAAAATTTAGTAATAATGTAGCTGGAATCACCCATTGTGGGATCAATATCTCTACTTTTATGGCTTTGCAAGCATTTTTGCAACGTTCGCAGACAGAGTAAAATAATATGGAATATGATGCAAATCAATTTTTTAACAGCATTACAGATGCATTTAATGAGACGAAAGACAAGGTGAAATACCTGGATTCGCTCAAGAGATACTTTGAACAGTTATACCTTCCTAATATAACTGTATCAACTCTGTCAAATTCTGTATTACCTGGACTCATGGCTACAGTGCGCCAGATGGATGCTATTTCAAGATATTATGCCAGAACTGGGTACCTTGGAGTGCTTTTTACCAAGGTTTGTAGTAAGTAGCAAGTGAGAAATAGAGATGTATATACCTTTTTTCCTTGCTGTTCAGTGCTGATTGCCAGGGCAGGAAAAAAGAATTTTCTTCCTGGGAGCACAAGCTGGAGACAAAAATTACCTGCAGACCAACGGAGTATTTTTGTGCTAAATCTGCATGTGCATAAACATATAGTGTTCTAGCTCACGACTAGCTGACCATGGTTTTAAGTTCAAGGAATAATGTCTGTCAACCATATGTTGTTGCGCCCATAGTGGGACATGGGTGTTAAGGTTTCCTTCAAATTTTCAATGGCAAATCTTCATTCCTGCAGCTGTTTAACATTTCCTGCGATCAGTGCTCGCGTTCTCGCCTATTTTTCCACCCGAACGAAAAATATAACGCGACGAACTGGGTACGAAAAATTGCTCCAGACGCAAACTTCAGATAAAAAGATTAGGGTCGGTGATTTCAGTGATCAAAAGCTAGGTAGGGTCAGGAAATCGGAAACCCAGGTAATTTTTTTCTTTGGCCCAACCATAACCGATCTACTTAGTATAGATTACATGAATTTTCAAGCACGTGTGGTATAGTCAGATTAGTCACCCATCCTAATGAGTTTGGTATGTAAATACCAAACTGATTCTTGGTCCCTGTTGTTGTAAACTTGGTACCTACAGGGTGCGATTACGTACCGGAGGTACGCCAATTGTCTGGTACGTCTTTGTTTTCAGGTCTGGTACGTCTTTTGTTTTTGTTGGTATTACAGTCTGGTACGTCTTTGTTTTCAGCCACGTACCACGTAGGTACGCGATACTCTTGCTATCTGCGTACTTAACTTTTTGGCACCATATGACCTTTCCAAGCCCAAGGTATTCAATACCGTGTCTTGCCGGGCATGAAACATTACAGATCATGGACTGATAGCACTAAGGCGTGTTGAGATCGATTGTATAGTAGTTTGAATATACTTAAATTCAAAAACCTGTTCTTTATGTACTTTTCGTATAAAGACTAAGTGCACATTGAGTATTGAGTTTGTTCTATAGCGCAAGGACGCGGCGGCAACAGTCATTGGCGTACCAGTCAGGTATGACTAAAAATCTTGGATTAGGGACCGGTCATTATTTATGGTGAGAGGTGGCACCGAAGAGAAATGTTTTTCGTGGCAAACATTTTGCTGACCCAACCATTAAAAAGTCAAAAATTCGATTACCCAACCTCAAATAACAATTAAGAAATAAATACCCACCCCTGGCCAAAAACTTCACAAACGGATACCATTCGGTTGTCACACATGTCCTTTACCACTTCTATGACATGAATTTGATAACGGATTGTGTAATTTTCTGCAGTCTAAAGTTTCATGTTGTCTGCACATGTACTTTCTTTGGAGACAGTACCATTTGTTTCCCATACAACAAATCGGAAAATGATCAAGATAGTGACACTGATTGATTCACATATTGTATTGACATAGAACTGTTGACAGTGCTTTTTTGGTCTCCAATATTTCAGTGAGCCATGCTTTGGAAATGACAATACATTTTTATTACCCAACCCTTGAGTTGTTTTGTTTTTCATTTACCCAACCTTTTACTCACTCAAAATTTTGTTTACCCAACCCTTTTCTCTACGGTGCCCCCCCATAAATAATGACCGCTCCTTATTGCACCCTGGTTACTATTTTTCCTATTTACCTGGTTACTATTTACCTGGTTGCTGTTTTACCTATTGTTATAAACATGATACCATAAACTTTTGCAGAGCCCCAAGATTAAAAAATTCTTTGTTTCTTTAGGTGACAAACCAGTTAGTGCATGCGTTACAGCAATATGTGAGCACATCAATTACTCAGGTTGAGGAAGACAGGTTATGGCAAGTTGTTGAACATGAAGTAAAACGTTTGCATGGTGGTCAGTCTGCACTCACTTATATGAAGACTAAAAACAAAAAGAAACAGGTATTCAAACATAACATGTTCATGCAGTGTTGCTACTACAGTGGTAATGCATGTACCTTTTGCCTCAGGTTGATCTCCAATATGTAGTTATTTAGTACTCACGTTTCCTCTTGTAGGCACACTGCACCAATAAGGAAGTGCAGCTTAGAACTGGTAGATCTAGTATCCAGTATAAATAAAGTTAGTTTAGTTTTCTTCCTGTTCTAGTAATGCTGGGGCAATAAGGGATTATCTCTTACTGATAGTCTATGGCACGGTTTAAGCTGGGATTTTAGATTTTGGGAGTGTTTCTAAATTCCCAAGGTGTGTACTTGCCAATTACCCAGAATAGCCAAAAAACATGGTTCCAATTATGCTCGCCAACAATAGACTATTCCTGTTTTATGCTACTCAATCAAATACAAGCCAGTTATTGTAGCAACTCTTGGGGCATTTAAAGCGATTTTAACACCATACGGTTCCCATTACCTATATCCATCTAAACATAAGAAATCACGGATCACTTAGATTTACACACTTTCTTACGACATAAATAGGAGGAAATTCCCCGCGACCTTTGGGATACTAGTTCCAAGCTCTACCAACTGAGCTACGAGGTCAAGTCGGTTCGAGCATTTGACTAGTATCACAAAGGTTAATGCGGGTTCGATTCCCACCGTGGTCAAGCTAACTTTTCAGTTTGCCCGGTGTGGATGCACACTTAGAGGAACATCACAAACATCATATTCACCTGAGTACATAACACCAACACACACAAAATGTAACACATATGTTCTGTACTGTAGGGTGGCGCTGAGGTGAAGCATGGCACTCGAGATGACCATTTCTCAGCTCATCTCAACTCATGTCTCCTACTTCAGAAACAATATCGTGATATGATCAGGACATTGCGAGATAATTTTGGCGCTGCAAGCTCACACTCAACAACGGCACTTTTTTCTGGAACACCTGCTCAACCGAACTCGGTTAAACGCTCCTTTCTTCACCCGGGTAATATAGTTGGCTCACAGTCTAGCACCTTACGACTACCATCGAATATGTCTACGCAAGGTAATGGTAGTGTCCTAAACATACCTATACTTAGCAGCGTATAGGGTAGTTGGGAACGCTATTCAGGAGACTAAGTAGTAGTTGGGAAGGTATTCAGGAGACTAGGTAATGTTAGATGAACATTGAGTTTGTTCTTCGACAGGAGCAGATCTAGCCTCATCTGTAAGGAGGGGTGCAGGTTTTCCATGGGGTGGTGCATGAGGGAGCCTTACTGCCCACTCTCCTCTGCAGTCTGCAACGCTACTATCCCAACATAACTATTATTTGAGATGGCCGAATCTGTATGTTCGCCGTTCTGATACGTTTTACATTATCTTTTGTTTATAAAGTTTATATTGGCTTTTTATCACGAATGCGTTACTGGACAGTTGTTGTAGCACAGTACAATAAATTTCCTTGTTAAAGTACAGTATATTTGAAAATATGGCTGTATAACAACCTCGACATGTTTACATGTTTAATCATGATGTTTAACTAAAGCAATTAAATCGTTTCAAGAAATCGACAAACGCTAACAGTAGACGTTCCGCTAATCCCTATTCGAAAAGCAGAAAATGTATGGTCAAGCTTATTTTTTTTAGTGGTGCTGGACTTCTTTATAAAGGAGGTGCTAGACACCACTGGGTGGGGTGCGTACTCCCCACCCCCTGCACCCCACGGTAGATCCGCCCCTGGGTGAAAGATGCTCGCTTTAACGATTGCGCCAATGATGACTGATACATGTGTCATGATGTATTCATGTTATCTTAGGTAACGTAAGACATCGAGACTCTGACAGTACAAGTTTCCAAGGCGTTGCAGGGGTTTCCCTTGCAGATGAAGACACAGTGTTTACCTCGATGGAATTCTTTTGTACTCGAGTACGAAACATGCTCGACATCATCAACACGCTGGCTCAGTTTGCAAAGCTTTGTGAAGCGGTTAAAGATCTACCTCGTTTACCAAGAGAAGCACTGGCTCCAGAGGAGGAGATCACGGGGGAAGATGAGGGTGATGAGGACCAAGGGAGGGATATATCACGTACTATTTCTGATACAAGTTTCGAAGAAGGTAGGGACTGGTAACTTTATATTTGTTGAAGATGGGGGGTGTTGGTTGTACATTGACTTAGTTATAGTGTTCGTACAAAACTTGAAAGTCCTTGAATGTCCTTCAATTTGAAAACAAAAATTCAAGGCGTTGAATGTCCTTGAATTTGTAAAGAAGTACTTGAAAGTCCTTAAATTTTTCTTGCTTTACTTTTTGGATATTTTCTGAAATTGTTTGAGATTCAAAAACGGATATTTTGTTGAATTGATTTTGCATGTTCATATCTGACAAAGCTGTTTGAAACTCACACATGGCCTTGACTGTCCTTGAAAAGTCTTCGAATTTGACTCTTCCTCACATGTACGAACCGTTGTTTACATCTGCCGTTGTCCTCTGCATCCAAGGTTTTGACTTCAAAATCCAGCGAGATGATTATAAATATTCATTTTGACTTACTAGGCATTGCCAGGGTCGGTTGTCCAAAAGCTGCATTAACGCCTAACCGTCGGTTAATATTTAACCTGCTGTTGTAGTTATGCATTTTTGCACGTCTGTTTATTTCAAAACTTTAGAGAAGAAAACTCCTACTGATCCAGTAGAAGTGCCAAAGGCACGAGGTGCGCCGTATGAGGTGAAACAAACAAAAACTAAATTACTATAACGTCAGCAACACGGGTAAAAAATATGGATTCTTTTTGTTAACAAAGACGGATACAGTACAGGTGCATGAAAAACAAATTTAAACTCGGGTAATAAATCCAAAAGAAAAGCAAGAAATTGTCTTTTTGTCACGTCCGCGTACTAGATTTAGCTCATCTTAAGTTCGCTATAATATTTAATTCAATTCAATTGAATCAGTTACTCTATTCCTATAGATTGGAGGCATCGTTTACGTTCTTATGTATTGAGTATCGAGAAATTAAGGCTTGCTATATTAATGCTTTGCCAGCATATAAGAGTCCGACGTGGCCAAGCTAAGTTTTCAGCTTGCCCGGTGTGGATGCATACTCAGAGTAACATCACAAATATCATATTCACATCAAATCATATTCACATTCACATTCAAATCATATCATAGATTACACTGATATCGAAGGAACTAGAATAAGATTCAGTTCCGAAATATGAACAACTCGAACCGACTTGATCACGTAGCTCAGTTGGCAGAGCATTGGACTAGTATCCCATGCAAAGGTCGCGGGTTCGATTCCCACCGTAGTCAGGCAAACTTTTCAGCTTGCCCAGTGTGGAAGTATACTCAGAGTAACGCCACAAACATCATATTCACCTGAGTACATAACACCAACACACACAAAAATTATATAAGAGCTTATAACAATATAAGCATGCATGTACGTCGGAAACGTGACGATGCGACAGCCAAAACAAACTCCTTCAAACAAGACCTTCTATGTATTGAGCGTTAATTGCATGTGCCTGAGATTGTTGTTCAGAAGGCTTTTTTCGACTCATCGCAAGAGTGAACTCGCAAACTCAATTTCATTGGTTCGGGAACCCCATTATAAATCGTCGTTGAAAATTGGTCCATGTATGTAACATCGTCTTTCATATATGGTTGAAAACATTTCTTAGCTAATTTCTTATACACTGGGCCAGTATTATACCACTTGTCGCAGCTTGAAATGTTTGCGTTGCAGTTTAGTGAAACTTCTGTCTGGCCTGATAGACAAGCAATTAATGATACAGTAAAATCCGCATTATAAAGAAATACTATTTTCAAAAGACTTGCTATATACGCTTTAGAGTATTGCTTAAAGTGGGTTATTCAAGCCCCGTTTACACTACGCTCAATTTTTGGTACCGTACCACTTTTTGGTTCTTGGACTACCTAAATAGGTAGTCAAAGAACTTAAATAGGTAGTCTTTTTTTTTATAAGTCTCTCTCTAATAAGCCCCCTTCCCCCAATAAACCACTCTCTCTAATAAGTCGTTCCCTAATGAGTCATTCTCTAGCTCCAATAAGTCCCTCTCTAATAAGCCCCATTTCTAATAAGCCCCATTTCTAATAAACGCCCTTTTTAATAAGC